AAAGTTTAACGTTAACCATCAGAGTGTAAATAAAGTTTAACGTTAACTATCAGAGTGTAAATAAAGTTTTACTGACTCAGTAGAACATGTGTTTCTAGTCTCTGATCTCTGATAATGTTTCATTGTAAACAACCAATCAGAGGAGAGCTAGTAACGTTAGCAGCACCGCTAACGGCTAACCAACGAAGGTTCACTTCAGTTACATGATGATGCCTTCAGGCTCTGCTCAGTGAACATGAGTACTGGCTGAAGGTACATTATAACGTTATCATGATGTGTTCACGTCATCTGTAAAATGTAGAGTAAATCCAGTAGTTTGGAGGAGATGTTTTCACATGAATATAAAATAGATATTAGAGATGAATTATGAGCTGTTTAACTTCATAACTCGAGCTCTAAGATCACTATTACACTTCATTAAAGATGACTAGATTTGTTTTAATCAATAAAAATACAATACTTTATTTACTCATTATTTGAGTATATATGACTATAGATGAAAGAAAGTAAAAACAAAACACTTGAAGATGATAATAAGTGTTTTAGTTCTTTGACTAAAGGCCTATTAGAGTCATTTTAGTCATTTTTGCATAATTTGCAAAAATAAGTAATAAATAAATCTCAATGTTGCATACGGCCACAATACCGTGACTTAGGTATTGTGATGAAATGGAATCACATCATAATGTTTATGAAACATGTTGAATCAAACACATATTTAAAAACGTTGATAGAAATGTTAGATAACTTGACAACAGTTAAAAGTGACCCTCGTGTCGGCAGTTCTGGACTCACTGTTGACTCGGAGGTTCATGGTGCTCCGGTTCTTGCCGGCTATGAAGGTGTACTCTCCAGCGTCGCTCCGGTAGGTCTCAGAGATGGTGAGGCGGTGCAGCTTCCTGATGGCGACGTAGTTGAACCTCTCCTCCACCGAGAACTGGATCTCCACCCCGTTTCTCATCCAGCGACCCTCCACGTCGTCCTCGTTCACCTCGAACTCGAAGGTGGCTCGGTGTTTCTCCAGAACCTACGAGAGAAAAAAACAAGAAGCTGCTTTCATTTGCAGCTTCAGCTGCTTCGTTTCCACACAGGTTCAAAACAAAACGTCCCGTCTCACCGTGATTTCCCGCTCGGCGGGTTCGGAGATCCGGACGTCTCGGCCCTCCACGGTCAGCTGGGCTTTGGACACGCTGGATCCGGCCACCACCGAATACTCGCCGGCGTCGGACATGCGAACCGTCTGGATCATCAGGCGGTGAACGTATTTCTCTGTCGTCACCGTGTACCTGAACACAACACAGACTGTCAGCTCTGCTGAAGAAGAAGAGGAGGAGGAGGAGGACGATGATGATGAAGGGTTAATGGACTGACCTCTCCTCAGACATGTCCAGCTCCTGACCGTCCTTCATCCACATCACCTGAGTGTTGGGCTCAGAGATCTCACACTCAAAGATGGCCTTCTTCTTCTCTGTGATCTTTATGTCTTTGATCTTCTTGGTGAATTCAATCACACGAGCTGAAATCAACAAAAACAGTTGCAGTGATTTTTATTTGTTTGTTTATTTTGTTGATATCTTCGGTCCCCTCTGAACCCCAAAAACCCGCCAGTAGGATTGAAAAGCATTTTTTTTCTTAAACAATCTCCAAAACTACGTTTATCACAGCCAAAGGCTTTAAAAACCGTCAGTATCGTCAGACTTTCATCTTTCTGACAGTCCTTGAACACATCATGTGTGACAAACGCTCCCGTCAGAAAAAGCCAAATTGTGATATTTAATCAAAGACATTTTATTCTTCATGTTCTCATTATAAATGTCTCCTCTAATAAAGCGTTCACTTTAACCAGATTGTGTAAAAACATTAAACTGTGAGCTCCTCAGTGAAACTATGAAGTCATGATTGATTCATCTGACACCAACCGTCATGTGACAACAAATCAGTGAAATTCCGTTACCTTCCACGAACAGGTTGGCGGCGCTGGCGGCGGACCCCGCCACGAACTGGTACTCCCCTCCGTCCCCGAAGTGGACGTTTCGGATGCTGAGCGTGTGCGTGAGCTGCCGGCTGCGGACCTGACACCTGTCGGAGGACTTCACCTCCACGCCGTTCTTCAGCCACTTGTAGGTGACGCCCTCGTAGTTCACGGTCACCTCGAAGGTGATGGTGTCTCTCTCCTGAGCGTTCAGGTCCTTCAGCATGGAGGTGATGAGGACGGCTGCAAATATAATAATAATAAAAATAACTGTCAGCATCCACATGCGATACTGTGACTCTGTTTCTGGTTGGTTTGTTTTATAAATACTACTTTAAAGTTAACAATATAGCAACAATGTACTCCATTTTAGCTATGTTGTACTTTTATTTAACAGTATTTTAACAATTACTTTGACTTATATTGGAATACTCTGCATTGTTTCTATTTTTTGTGCTGTGTTGATTGTTTAATGTTATGCACCATCCACCATGTACATTTCTTTGTATGTGCAACATACTCGCAATAAACGGGTCTGATTCTGATTCTGACTAAGCGGGATGTTGTACTTCTCATAACTGAGGATAAATCATATTTTTAAATAAGTCATTTATATATAAAAATATATATTTTCTCATGTTTCTTAATTGTTAAATGTAATATTGTTGAATTATAATTGTTTCAATTATACAAATACAATTAACTGTTGTTGTTATTATGATTTTAGTGATCTTACGGCTGACGGTGAGCGTAGCACACTCGGTCGTTCCCACAGACGAAGATAAATGTGATCTTATATAGACGTGATCTTTTGTGAACGTGATCTTGTGTAAACGTGATCTTATATGGACGTGATTTTATCTAAACGTGATCTTATATGAACGTGATTTTATCTAAACGTGATCTTATCTAAACGTGATCTTGTGTAAACGTGATCTTATCTAAACGTGATCTTATCTAAACGTGATCTTATCTAAACGTGATCTTGTGTAAACGTGATCTTATCTAAACGTGATCTTATGTCAACGTGATCTTATCTAAACCTGATCTTGTGTAAATGTGATCTCATCTAAACGTGATCTTATCTAAACGTGATCTTATCTAAACCTGATCTTGTGTAAATGTGATCTCATTTAAACGTGATCTTATCTAAACGTGATCTTATCTAAACGTGATCTTGTGTAAACGTGATCTTACGGCTGACGGTGACCGTTGCAGACACTCGGTCGTTCCCACAGACGAAGGTGTACTCTGCAGAGTCGTCCCTGCTGGTGTTCATGATCTTCAGCTGGTGCAGTTTTCCCTGAACCACGATCCTGAACTTCTCGCTCATCTCGATCTCCACGCCGTCTCTCAGCCAGGTGGACGGCACATTGAAGTGAGAAACCTCGCACTCCAACGTGGCCACCTGGGTCTCTGGGACTTTGACGCTTTTTAGGGGTTTGGTGACTCGCAGGGCTGAAGAGACAAAACATTAAATATGAGAATCATCTCTATTAATGGAACGTAAATGTATTATTATTGGGATCACTTTCACAAGAATAGAATTAATTAATCACATAAATTAATGCAAATTACAAATACAATTTTAATCTAGATATAATATTCTCTACATTCTAAAAGAATTATATGGATAAATAAAAAATAAAAAATTCATAAAATGTAAACAAACACAAATATATAAAACCCTAAACAAAAATGTACAACACAAGCCAATAAGATTTACAAATTTAGAAATCAATTTGAAAATTTTGAATAAATGAAAAGGACAAAATTCACAAAATTCATAAAAACAAATATATTTTGTTTTAATTGATTTACTACTCTTTATTATTTTAGTGTCATTTTACAATACCAAATGGTCATTAGACCATAAGCATATCATTTTTCGAATGATATAAATGAAAACAAACTACAAAATAATCATAAAGAAAATTTTAAATTTAAATGTATTATTCTCAATATTCTACATAAATTATATGAATTAATAAAAAGCACAAGATTTATACAAAGATTTTTAGAAAGTAAATGATTCATGCAGACTTTTTGTTATTCCTTATTAATTTCAATGAAATTTTTAAAAATAAACAAAAAGGTCACATCATTGTAACCTTTCCCTCATGAATCACAATAATAATAATAATTATTACAATAATAAAATGTGGCATACCCTCCACGGTGAGCGTGGCGCTGCTCTGCAGGTGTCCCACCACGGCGCTGTACTCTCCGGCGCTGCTGCTGTCGATGTTCTGCAGGACCAGTTTGTGAGCTTTCCGCTCTGACAGAATCTTACACCTGTCGCTGGGCTTAAGCTCCGCCCCTTTAAACATCCACCTGACGGGGATGTTGTCATGTGACAGGCTCATCTCGAAGGAGGCGGTGCTGTCCAACAGCGACGACACGTCCTTTATCTTCTTGATGATTTTGATGGCTGTAAAAACACAAAAAACAGAGACGGATTAGATCCTCGATGGCTCTGCTGGACGGGGTCCTGGATGGTCCTGGATCACGGGTTCAGATCAGAGACTCACTCTCTACGTTGAGTCTGCCGTTGGCCGAGAGTTTTCCCAGTTTGAAGGAATAGACGGACTCGTCCTGCATGTTGCAGCTCTTGACCTTCAGCGTCTGCACCGTGCCGTCGGAGGTGATCTCGTACTTGTGGCTGTTCTGCAGCTCCACACCGTTCTTGATCCACTGGGACCCCTTCACGTCCAGGTGGGTGAGCTCCAGCGTGAACACGGCCTCCTGCGTCTCCGTCACCGTCTGGTTCCTCAGAGTCTTCTTGATCTTCACCGCTGGAGACGGAAACACAGAACTCAGTATTCACATGCGTAAAGAGAAGCTCTGTGGTTTGGTTTTAACCCGCCAGACTGTGAGGACATTCAGGGGGGACAGGGTGTGAAGAACGAGACGTCTACGTAGGACGAACTGTCCACCTGCCTGTCTACCTGTCTACCTCTCTACCTGTCTACTTATCTTTCTACCTGCCTGTCTACCTGTCACTCATTCCATCGTCTTCCACCAGCTTCTATCTTCACAGCTTTCAGATCTCCCATCTTGTAATTGTAGTCCATCTTGAAATAGCACCACATACTTATGATGATAACGTAGACTCTACGTACCCTCCACCCTGAGGTTGGCGGTGGTCTTGGAGTTGGCCACCTGGTAGGTGTACTCTCCGACATCCTGCGGTCTGGTGATGACGATGACGAGGCGTCTGACGGCCCTGTCCACCTCGCTCACCACGTTCTCGTTGAAGTCCACGTGCTGGCCGTCCTTCAGCCACTTGCCCTCAGCGTTGGCGTTGGCGACTTCACACTCCAGCACAGCCGTCTGAGACTCGGCCACCGTCACGTCCTGCAGGGGCCGAGTGATGGCTCCACCTGGTGGCGGCACAAAGAACCGGATGTGAGCATCAGTCTATAAAAGCAGCTAGATTAAAGGTTCATAAGAATGACAATGAATTGTAAGGGAACTGTTCTAGAGGTTCAGTGTCACTTCCTTGATCAGGATCTGACTATGAAGTACACAAAAGCTGCTGCCAAAGTCAAACTTGAAACCTTGTTTTTAGGACAGTGTCTGTAAACACGTTCATCTAACTTTTTCATGAATGATTGTGTAAATGTAGTCGTACCGGAGACAGTGAGCTTGGCACTGGACATCTTTTCACCAGCGTGGAACGTGTACTGGCCCTCCTCGTCCTTCATGGTGTCAATGACCATCAGAGAGTGAGCCTTGCCCTTGGTCTCCATCTTGTATTTGGCTCCAGGTTTGAGCTGCTGGTTCCTGAAAGTCCAGACCGGGTCGATACCCGGGTGGGACACTTCTACTTTAAAGGTGACATTCTGGGACTCTGAGCACACTTTGTCCTCCATGTGCTTCACAATGTGTACCTCTGGAAAAATAACAACTTTGGTTAGAGCATGGGACTGGAACTGGGACCTGAAAACAGGATCATGGGAAAATGAAACCTTTCTTACTTTCCACAGTCAGGCTGCAGCTGGTGTCGACCTTGCCGACCACCAGTTTATATTGTCCTTCATCAGAAGCGAAGGTCCGGGTGAAGACCATACGCTGCTTGGCTCCCTTTGTGACCATCTGGATTCTGTCGCTAGGCATCAGTAGTTTGTCGTTGTGGTACCATTTGACCGAGCTGACGTCCTGAGCCGAGATCTTGGCCTCTAGAACAGCCTTGGTGCCTTCCATGGAGGACACATCCTTAAGTGGCGCCACAATGTCAATGGCTGAAAGGAAAGACAAGAAACGATGGGTTCAATGTGTTCTAGTGATCATTAAAGTTGAGTATCACTTAGATCTGGTCCTGATTCCGACTCTTACTTTGAACACTGAGTTTGCCCGAGGTGGAGATGTCTTGGGCAGGAACCACGAAAGAGTAGGAAGCAGCATCGTCTCTGGTGACGTTCTCCACCAGCAGCTTGTGGACCTGTTTGTCGATTACAATGTGGACGCGGTCCGAGGCCGAGATGGCTTGGCCGTTCTTCATCCAGGTTCCCTCAACGTTCTCCTGGGAGAACCTCACCTCCAGCTGAGCGATGTCAGCCTCGCAAACCGTGAGGTCAGTCAAGGGCTGCATCAGCGTCACCGGGCGCACTGACGGTAGAGAAACAACATTATTATCACATCCCACTAAAGCCACCAACAACTGAATCACAACATCAAACCGTAAAGAGCTGTGTCCTTCACATATCTCCATAACCGTTCATCTGATTGACTTCACACCTCGATTCCACGGACGTGACGAATGTGATGTAATTTGGCCAAATGGTGGTGCTACAAAAACAAATCTTTAGCCATTGATTTTCTGCCATTTTGAATTGTGCCAAAATCTGTATTTTCACTTCTCCTACAAACTTTGAGGAATCGTCACCAAATTTTGTGCAGAACATCTCTGCAGCAAGCAAGAAAAGTACTTATTCGGATTGTTGATGTTCCATACAGTTTTTTCTATAGCTGTCCATCAAATGCTGTGGGCTGGGCTGTGTATCTTCTGAACACTTTCTGCTGTTGCAACCACATTTGGTGGACAAGTTTAGATATGATATTTGAGTGACCATGCCAAATTAGGTGTTTTTTAACTCAATTATTCATTAAATGTTCTCTTAATTGAGAACTATAAACCATTTACATGTCCCTCAAAGCACTAAGATAAGAAAGCCTCAATTAGAGAACTTCGAAAGCAATTTCAAGTAATTCATTTTGGAAGACGTTTAATAATTTGTATTAAAAAGTAATGTAAAAGTAATGTATGCTGGAATTGGTAGAATCGATAAATTGGTCCTGAGAAACCCTGAGAATAGCATTAGAAGACAAATAACAAACTCATAATCACTGTGGGCAAAGACACTTCGCTCCACATACTTTATACTCTGTAAAGTTTCTTACATTTCATCTTCAGTGAGGCGCTGGTCTTAAGGTCTCCACATACGAAGGTATATTTCCCCTGGTCTACTTTCCTGACGTCCCTGATGGACAGGGTTTGTCTTCCTCTGCGGGAGGACATGATGTATTTACTGCTGGGAGACAGCTCCTTGTCTCCGAAGAACCAGCTGCCCTCAGCGTCCTCGCGAGACAGTTCCACCTCAAACTCTCCAGAGTAAGTCTCCGGCACCTCAATGTTCTCCATGTGTTTGATGAGCTCCAGGGCAGCACCTGGGTAAGGAACCATACCAAGAACTGTTATCTACCAATCTACCCAAACAAGACCAAAGGGAACTGTGGATGGAAACATTACCTTCGACATGGAGCCTCGCACTCGTCCTGATGCTCTCGTCGTCTACGATCACACTAGAGTATTCGGCATCATCCCTCATTTCAATTATCAGCACAGACAGGAAGTGGACCTTTCTGTCTGAGTGCATTCTGTATTTATCTCCGGAGAAGATCTCCATGTTGTTCTTGAGCCATTTGACTTTGATGAAAGGTTCGTTGGTTTCGCACTCAAAAGTCACCATGGTGTCCTTCTCATTTGCACTGGTATCCATTAAGTTTTGGATGAAGCTGATTGCTGTCTTGGCTGCAATGAAAAAACATGAAGTGAAGACTTTGACATAAATTAGGACAGAGACAATGACAATTTGCCTGAGGGATTTGGTGTAAAATGTCTTTACCTTGCACAAGCAGGAAGGCGTGGCTGGAGGCCTCCCCAGCGACATTCATGGCTTTGACCATGATGCTAGCAGAGTCCTCTGCTGTCACATCTCTGATCACCAGTTCACACACATGATCTTCAGGCCAGTACCAGTAAATGCGGTCAGACCTTTCCACTAGAATGCCGTTCTTGAACCACTGGCACTCGGGTTCTGGTCTGCCGACGACTCTGACTCGGAAATTAACCTCATCCAGCGGAGTGACCGTCTTGCTTGTGATGCGTTCCAGGATCCTGGGTGCTTCCATGCTGGGGGAGAGCTGGAACCTCTCCGGTTTGATTGTGGGGATGGTGAGTTTGCCTTGTTCCTCCATCATCTTCCTCTCAGCTTCTTCTTTCTCTTTCAAGCGATGAAGCAGATCGTCCTTCGTCTTCTTCAGCAGATCCTCGTAGGAGTCGTCCCTCCTGCGAGACTTGAACTCCACAGCAGAAATGGACTCGTAGAAACCTTCCTCGGTCCTGCGCTTGAACTTGCTCTTCAGTTCGTCTGACTCCTCTGAGGTCTTCTCGTGAACAACTCTCTGTGTCTTACGCAGCTTAACAACCTCCCTGTCCTGCGCGGACTCGCTGGGTACGTCGACCTTCACAACATCAAATCCGATTCTGCCGGGGTCATTTGAAGCCTCTGCGGCCTTCTGTTCTGGAGCGCGACGCAGCACAGATCTAAAGTCCTCTTTCTGTTGGATCTCCAGCTTCACAGTGTGCTCGGTTGTGCCAAGAGGATTGTCTGCAACCAGCCTGACTTCTCCGGAGTCGTAGGACTTGACGTCGACGATCTCCAAGTAGTAAATACCATCATAACGAAGTCTGTATCTCTTGCTCTTGCGGATCAGTTGTCCGTTCAGGTACCAGTTAACCTTGGGTAATGGATAACCGGTCACTCTGCAGCGGAATCGCGCAATGTCGCCTTCGAGCACTCTGGCTGGTTCAGGAATGAGGACGATATCAGGTTTGGTCTTTTCAAATTCGTCATCAGTGGTGACTCCTGAAGGTCCTCCCTCGTAAGCCATGCGCTCGATCTCATCCATTCTGTGCAATCCCTTCCTGCCTTCAGGGAGCTGAGTCTCCTCAACAAGACCTTTCTCGTCCTTGACGATCAGGGTGGCTGAGGTTTGGTCGACTCCGAACTTGTTCGTGGCTCTGCAGGTGACGACGCCACTGTCTCTGGCATAAGCAGATTCATAGTCGAGACTGCAGTAGCCAAATTCATTGACCATGCGCAACCTGTTAGCAGCTTCCAGGGGTTTGCCGTCGTGCAGCCACTCCACCATCATGTTGGGGTCACCGATAGGGGTCAGTCTGCACTCAAAGTGAGCCGGACCAAAACGCTTCATTCTGATGGAAGTCAGCTTCTTCTTGAGCTGTGGTTTCTGTTGCTTCTCTTTGTCGTAAAGGTCGCCCTCCTCCCACTGCTCTTGACCATATCGCAGATGAAGGGGCTCCAACTCGGGAGGGGCGATCTCCTTGGCTTTGTAGGTTCCTTTGGTGATAATGAGCTTCCTCTCAGTGTGAGGAGCAGTGAAGTCAACCTCAACGTTGACTCTGCAGCGAGTGGTGTCCCTGCCAGCCTTGTTGATGGCTGTAGCTGTGTACCAGGCGCTGTCTGAGCCCGAAGAAGATGGGATCTGGAATTTGGCCTCTCCTTTAGTTCCGTCAATCCTGAAATACATAATTCAGATATATTGATAAGCACAAACTACTCGTTCTACAAACCTGTGTCAAAGGATTAGAAAATAGACTGAATTAAAGATACGTACTTGATTTGTGGGTGCTTGTGTGGGGTGATAATATCACTGTTTTTCAGCCAGACGATGTCAGGCAGAGGGTTTCCAATGGCTTTGACAGCCAGTTCAACCAGAGTGCCCTGTTTTACAGTGATGTTCTTCAGCTTCTCAATGAACTGAGGGCGCGTCAGGCTTTCTCGAGCTGTGGATGGTGAAATACAATGCCGAGCAAGACAGAATTTAATAATGGAATACATTTTGTTTTAATGAATGCAAGAGCTGTCTGGTGAATACACTCCAAAGACTAGGGTCTGAACAGATCATCCCACACAGACATACCGTCAACAGTAAGAGTTACAGAGACTGAAGTCCGTCCAGCTCTGTTCTGAGCGACGACTGTCCACTCTCCAGAGTCTTGTGGCAAGGCCGGGACGATGATCAAGGACTGGACACCGTCCTCTTTGACCACTATCTTGTGGGTGTAGTCATTAACCACTTGTTGCCCTGAGGAGAAGGAGGATTAAATGTTTTTTTAAGTGGCAGAAGCGACAGACAAAGTTGCGTCTCTAGAGTTAGTTGAACCTCATTTCTCTTACCATTGTGGAACCAGTATGCGTCTGGCATCGGTCTGCCTACGATCTTCAGGTCGAATCTGGCAGTTTGCCCCTCAGAGCATTTAATTGAGGAAGGTTTCAGGACAAACACAGGCTTGTACAGTCTTTCCAGCTGAGCCTCGTCCGTCTCGTCGAGTCGGCGGGCCGGAGAACGTCCGGGAGAACGACTGGAAGAACGTCCGGGTGAGCGGCTCAGAGAACGAGGAGAAGTGGATCTGAGAAAGCAGCAAAGTTGTCAGTATCGAGGTCAATCGTTAATCACCGGGGAGCCTCCAGACTGACATGTGATCCTCACCTGATCCTCTGCATCGCTGGCTGTGGCGTGTATCTCTGAGGGGTCACAGCTCCGGATGGCTCCACGTAGAGCTTCCCAGAGCTGACGGTATTTCCCTTCATGTTGGAGGCGAAGGCGGTGTACACGCCCTCATCCTCCGGTAGCACCACGGGCAGACGGAGGCTGGCTCGTCCGTCCTGAAGAACCTCCATCTGGTAACGTCCACCAGGTCTGATACGCTGGCCGTCTTTGTACCAAGCAATCTAGGAGAAGACAGAAGATCATTGCATCCACCAATATAACTTCTAAATATCTGGTTTTCAAGCTTTCTCTGGTAAAACTATCTCTAATAAAGAAAGAAACCGCTGCATGCAAATACCTTATTACACTGACATCTATTAGAGGCTTTAAGACCCCAAAGTCAGTTACCCCTAGAGCCAACTCTACTCTACTGTTATTCTGCTGCATCAACGTTTGTAACACACCATGAATATGAAACATTAGGTCTTGCCCATTCGCCACAAGGTGTATGAATTTAAAACGCTGCTAGTTTTCTGCCTGAGTCAAACTTTAAATATAAAGAAATGCCCACTGAGAGAGACCCGAGAGACACTTTGTGACTGTAATCGCTGTTATGAGCAGATGTCGTATGTTGTACAGATTGTTAAGCCCTCTGGGGCAAATTTGTGATTTTGGGATATACAAATAAAGTGAATTGAATTATACACTTCACATTTACTTTGTGTTTTACTTGGAATACTCAGAATACTTTCACTTTACTTATTTTACTTGTATTTGTCCAGCTTTGATGAGCACTCTCATTCTTATTTCAACCTAGTTTATACACTACTTTTATTGCCTCAAGTTTTCAGTCAAACTATTTTTGTGTTATCAGATCAAGACAAACATGAGACGGTTAATTCATGAGAGTCTTTTAAACTAACTGGCTGATGCATTGGCATCGTAAAAACCTCAGTAATATCTATCAGACCTTTTCCCAGCTTTGCTCTGGACGGGAGTAAGTTACATTATAATCTTTGTACATGTAAAAAGATTATAAATTCAGTACCTTTGGCAGAGGAATTCCACCCATCTTGCAGTGGAAAGTGACGCCCATTCCGTCCATGATCCTGTAGTTTTTGACAGGCGTGTCGAAGGCCGGCTGCACCGCCTCCTCCTCCGCCACCATCACCGTCAGCTCTCCGTCCTCGATCACCAGCTCTCTGTAGGAGATCATCATGATGCGGAGCTCCACCTCCTGGATGATCCTCTCTTCAAATGCTGAAATCATAAATTCCTGCAAAAAAAAAAAAGGTTTGTAAGGTGTTGACATCAAATCCAAACTGAGACTTTGAATCTGTTTCACTGTTTGATGGTAATGTAGTGTTTAATAGGCTACAACACACGCAAACAAGCTCATTAAAAAAATACTTTAAAGTTTAAATATCTTGGATTTTCATACAGTTTATACATTTTCAGATGATGTAGCAGCACTGCTCTCACAAGCTAAAAGCACAACGGTTTGACTGCATTTGTTAAGATTTGCTGACCTGTGCAAGTTTGAATAATGTTTATAAAAATTATTTTTTTATTGAGACTAAAGTTGATTTCTCCTCAAAAAAAGAAAAGAAAAATAACTATGACAAAATGTGACACAATTCTTGAAAGGAAACATTTGAAAGATTTATGGACTAAATTCAGCTCAAAATTAAACAGGAAACAGCAACAAAACAGCTCGAAGAAACCACGAAAACAAGGGAAACGAACGTTGACGTGACTTTCAGTCGTCTCTCTGATCTATAAACTCTTTAAACATCTAAATCTTCCTCTCAACATTACTGTAGTGAGAACAGTGTTTTAGTGAATTATTCCACTCACAATGATTAGAAGACATGGAAATTAAAACTGCACAATCAAAGAAAAACAAAAATGAAATAATTGTGTTTCTGCTGTCAATGAAATGATTAAAATAAGACAAAAACTAAATTAAAGTTGTATCTAACTGACCAGAACAATGAAACAGTTTCTCTTGATGTGAAACAAACAAAGTCGGTACCGTTTCTGAGACGAAGCTCATGGGGGTCGTCACCCTCCGCTGCTCCAGCTCGTATTGACTCACGACCACAGACGGGTCCTGGACCACCGTCGTCGTCGTCGTCACTTCGGTTTTGTACGTCACGTCATGTTGCTTCATGTAAGCTTCGTATTCCTCTGTAAACAGAGACGTAGTCACGCTGTGAGACATTCAGTCCAACATGCCTTCTTTAAAGGTTTTATAAAGAAAACAAAGGATGTTGGTTACCTTCCTCCAGCAGGTTGGCGGAGGCTGAAGCTTCTCCGTGTGGATTCTTCACAAAGATGGAGTATTCTCCGGCATCGTCAGCAAACGTCATGGAGATCTCCAGTTTACATTCTCCGGTCTCCTTCTTGTAGGTGACTTTGTATCTGATAGCATAAAAAAGCAACAGTTATCTATTGTGATCTGTCAACATGAAAATCAGAGAAGATCAGAAAGAGAAAGATGAGTATCTTGACAGAAAACTAGAATCATGCAGCACTTTATATTCATGTCTATTCAAAATGGCATCACTTCATCATCTGAGATGGAGTACAGTAAAAAGTACTATATGTGCCTCTGAGATGGAGTACAGTAAAAAGTACTATATGTACCTCTGAGATGTAGTACAGTAAAAAGTAGAACATGTACCTATGAGATGTAGTACAGTAAAAAGTACTATATGTGCCTCTGAGATGGAGTACAGTAAAAAGTACAATATGTACCTCTGAGATGTAGTACAGTATAAGGTACTATATAAACCTCTGAGATGCAGTACAGTAAAAGTATAAAGTGGCATTAAATGGAAATACTCCAGTGAAGAATAAGTACTTAGTGTTTTTGAGAAAAGGGGGCGGGTGTGAACCTGAACCGGTACCTGTATCCGGTGGTGAGCGGTACACCGCTCTTCTTCCAGATGACGTGAGGTCTGGGGTTTCCTCCGACTTGACACTCGAAGAAGACGCCTCCTCCCTCCACCAGCTTCTGAGCGCTGGGCTTCCTGATGAAGAACGGAGCGGCGGACTCTCCTGAACTCTCCTCCACCACCGTCTGCTGCTTTAACTCCAGCACAACGCTGAGGGAGACACATGTATGTGATATACATTTATATTACGTATGTTTCATTTATATTAGGTATATTACATTTATATTAGGTATGTTACATTTATATTAGGTATATAACATTTATATTAGGTATATTACATTTATATTAGGTATATAACATTTATATTAGGTATATTACATTTATATTAGGTATGTTACATTTATATTAGGTATGTTACATTTATATTACGTATATTACATTTATATTAC